TTTTTTTTTTTTTTTTTTTTTTTTTTTGAGACTGAGTTTTGCTCTTGTTGCCCAGCTGGAGTTCGATGGTGCGAGCTGTGCTCACCGCAACCTCCACTTCCCAGGTTCAAGCGATTCTCCTGCCTCATTTCCTAGTAGCAGATATTACAGGCATGGGCCACCATACCTGGCTAATTTTGTATTTTTAGTAGAGACAGGGTTTCTCCTGTTGGTCAGGCTAGTCTCAAACTCCTGATCTCAGATGACCCACCTGCCTGGGCCTCCCAAAGTTCTGGGATAACAGGCGTGAGCCACCACGCTTGGCCCATCTTCCAGGATTTTATGGTTTTGCGTTTTATATTAAGTCTTTAATTCATCTTCAGTTAATTTTTGCATATGGAGTAAGAAAGGAATCCAGCTTCAATCTTCTGCATATGGCTAGCCAGTTATTCCAGCACCAATTATTGAGTAGGGAATCTTTTCCTCACTGCTTGTTTTTGTCAGCTTTGTCAAAGAGCAGACAAAACAGGTAGGACAGGCACAGTGGCTCACGCCTGTAATCCCAGAACTTTGGAAGGCCGAGGTGGGTGGATCCCGACGTCAGGAGATCGAGACCATCCTGGCTAATATGGTGAAACCCCATCTCTACTAAAAATACAAAAATTAGCCAGGCGCGGTAGCACGTGCCTGTAGTCCCAGCTACTCGGGAGGCTGAGGCAGGAGAATTGCTTGAACCTGAGAGGCAGAGGTTGCGGTGAGCTGAGATTGCGCCACTGCACTCCATCCTGGCCGAGAAAGTGAGACTCCGTCTTAAAAAAACAAAACAAAACTAAGAGCGGATGATTGTAGGTGTGCAGCCTTATTTCTAGGCTCTCTATTCTGCTCCGTTGGTCTGTGTACCTGTTTTTGTACCAGTACCATGCTGTTTTGGTTATTGTAACCCTGTAGTAAGAGCTTCAAGTTGGGTAACATGTTGCCTCTAGCTTTGCTCTTTTTGCTTAGGATTGCTTTGGCTTTTCTGACTCTTTCTTGGTTCCATATCAATTATTATTATTTTTTCATGTGGAGTTTCGCTCTAGTTGCCCAGGCTAGAGTGCAATGGGATGATCTTGGCTCACCACAACCTCTGCCTCCCAGGTTCAAGTGATTCTCCTGCCTCAGCCTCCCGAGCAGGTGGGATTACAGGCATGTGCCACCACTCCTGGTTAATTTTGTGTTTTTATTTTTATTTTTTTATATATATATTTTTTTGAGACAGAGTTTCACTCTTGTTGCCCAGGCTGGAGTGCAATGGCGCAATCTCGGCTCACCGCAACCTCCGCCTCTTGGGTTCAGGCAATTCTCCTGCCTCAACCTCCTGAGTAGCTGGGATTACAGGCATGCACCACCATGCCCAGCTGATTTTTTGTATTTTTAGTAGAGACGGGGTTTCACCATGTTGACCAGGATGGTCTCGATCTCTTGACCTCGTGATCCACCCGCCTCAGCCTCCCAAAGTGTTGGGATTACAGGCTTGAGCCACTATGCCTGGCAGGTAATTTTGTGTTTTTAGTAGAGTCAGGGTTTCTCCATGTTGGTCAGACTGGTCTCGAACTCCCGACCTCAGGTGACTCACCTGCCTTGGCCTCCCAGAGTGCTGGGATTACAGGTGTGAACCACCCTGCCTGGCAGTATCGCCATTTTAATGTTATTGATTCTTTCTATCTATGAGCATGGGATGTTTGAGCAGTGTTTTGTAATTCCCATTGTAGAGATCTTTCATCGCCCTGGTTAGCTGTATTCCTAGGTATTTTCTTCTTGTGGCAGTATGCACATAGTTCTTGGCCCCATGTGGGGCATCATGGGGAACCTGCTGTTGATGTGACTGCCCTGCACATGTGCCATTGTATTACTCTTTTTGAGTGTCCTTTTTTTTTTTTTTTTCTTTTTTTAGACAAGGTCTCTTTCTGTCACCCAGGTTGGAGTGCAGTGGTATGATCTTGGCTCACTGCAGCCTTGACCTCCTGGGCTTGAGTGATCCTCCTGCCTCAGCCTCCTGAATAGCTGGGACTACAGGGACACATCACCATGCGCAGCTAATTTTTATATTTTTTGTAGAGATGGGGTTTTGCCATGTTGATCAGGCTGGTGTCGGCCTCTTGGGCTAAAGAGAGCCTCCCTCATTGGCCTCCCAAAGTGCTGGGATTACAGGCGTGAATCACTGCATCCAGCCTGTATTCTCTTTTAAAACAAAGGTTTTGGGGGTAATCCCAACTACTTAGGAGGCTGAGCAGGAGGATAGATTAAGCCCAGGAGTTTGAAGTTACAGTGAACTACGATTGCACCACTGCCCTCCAGCCTGGGTGACAGAGCAAGATCCTGTCTCAAAAAATATGTGAAATGGCTGTGCACATTGGTTCACACCTGTAATCCTAGCACTCTGAGAGGCCGAGGTAGGCAGATCATGTGCGGTCAGGAGTTCAAGACCAGCCTGGCCAACATGGTGAAACCCCACCTCTACTAAAAATACAAAAATTAGCCAGGTGTAGTAGTGCACACCTGTGGTCCCAGCTACTCGGGAGGCTGAATTGGGAAGATGTATTGAGGCCACAGTGAGCTGTGACTATGCTTGAACCTGTACCTGAACACTACCCTACACAGGTTGACTATCTCCTATTTGAAATGGCTAGAATAGGACCAGAAGTATTTCATATTTTGGATTTTTGTCATATTTTAGAATATTTACATTATACCTAACAAGCTGAGTATCCCTCATCTGGAAGTCTGAACTGCTCCAGTGATAATTTCCTTTGAACATCATTGCAACACTCAAAAACTTTCTGATTTGGAACATTTCAGATCTCAGAGTTTCTGATGAGGTGTACTCGACCTATATTCTCTTGTCTGTTAATACTCGTTTTCTAGTACCTTCTTAATTACCATTCTTTATCATTTTTGGTTTATTGCCAGACAAAGCATACTAAAGAAAAAAAATTGCCCCAAGCTCATATTTTGCTTGCCAATAGAAATGAGATGTTTCGGCCAGGTGCCGTGGTTCACAACTATAATCCCAGCACTTTGGGAGGCCAAGGCAGGAGGACTGCATGAGTCTAGGAGTTTGTGACTAGCCCGAGCAACAAAGTGAGACTCTATTGCTATAAAATAAAAAATAAATAAGAAACTTTTTTTTCTGGAGAGACAGGGTCTCCCTATGTTGCCGTGGCTGTTCTGCAACTCCTGGGCTCAAGCGATTCTCCCATCTTGGCCTCCCAAAGTGCTGGGATTACAGCTGTGAGCCACTACACCTGGTGCTATTTTACAGATTTTTTTTTTTTAAAGATGAAGCCTCACTCTGTTGACCAGACTGGAGTGCAGTGGTGCGATCCCAACTCACTGCAACCTCCGCCTCCTGGGTTCAAGTGATTCTTTTGCCTCAGCCTCCCGAGTAGCTGGAACTACAGGTGTGCACTACCACGTCCGGCTAGTTTTTGTATTTTTAGTAGAGACGGCGTTTCACAATGTTGGCCAGTGCTGATCTCTAACTCCTGATTTCAGGTGATCCGCCCACCTCGGCCTCCCGAAGTACTGGGATTACAGGCATGAGCCACCATACCCAGCCTGTTTTATAGATATTTTTAAGTTACCTTCTTCATTTCCTGTGTTTGGATTACTGCCGTTTAATGGCAGACTTAGAGTATTTATCCATGACAATGCTTAGTAAGCACTTAAGTGCAGCTTGTAAGAAGGTGCTGTGGTTCATCAGTAGATCACCACCTTTGGTGCTTATCAGAATCACGTTATAAGGATCTAAAAATTTTTTTGGCTGGGCACCAGGTGGCTCACATCTGTTATCCCACCACTTGGGGAAGTGGAGACAGGAGGATCACTTGCTCTCAGAAGTTCAAGACCAGCTTGGGCAACATAGCCAGACCCCTGTCTTTACAAAAAAATTTAAAAGGTAGCTGGGCATGGTGTCATGCGCCTATAGTCCCAGCTACTTGGGAGGCTGAGGCAGAAGAATCACTTGAACCCAGGAGCTGGCGACTGCAGTGAGCCATGATTGCACTACTGCACTCCAGCCTGAGTGACAGAGCAAGACTTTGTCTCAATTAAAAAAGTCCCAGAATTGACAGAGCAAGACCTTGTCTGAATTAAAAAAAAAAATCCCTCATTGCGTATTCTGAGTCAGTAAGGCTAAGGCTTGGACATCTGCATATTTAAAAGAGAAAGCTACAGATGACTCTACGAAGACAGAGCTGCTGCTGTAGGGGGCCCCTGGAACTGGAGAGATGGTTTTGGAGAGCTTCTACAATAGTTCTTCTCTCTTGTCCTTCAACCCTAATCTGATAGCGTGGACAACAGTGAATATATGCGGAATGGGGACTTCTTACCCACCCGGCTGCAGGCCCAGCAGGATGCTGTCAACATAGTTTGTCATTCAAAGACCCGCAGCAACCCGGAGAACAACGTGGGCCTTATCACACTGGCTAAGTATGGGGGACAAAGGAGGAGGGGACTTGGTAGGTGGGTGGTTGTTACATGCTACTCTTCAGATTCCATGAGGCTGCTTTTGCCCATCACCTTCCTAAACTGCCTTCTTCACTATTCAGTGTAAATGTCAATAGCAACTTGTTTTTGTATTAACCTGAATTTAATACAGCACAGGAGCTAAATCTCCTGGGGTGAAATTTCTGTTTCTTTTTATTGTTTGTTGGGCAGGGCTAAGGTAGCGGTGAAATTTCATAATATATTTTAAAGTCAGTGAAAAGTGATTTTGGGCTGGGCACAGTGGCCTACGCCTGTTATCCCAGCACTTTGGGAAGCCAAAGAGACCAGCCTGGGCAACAGGGCAAAACCCCATCTCTACTGAAAATACAAAAAAGCCAGGCATGGTGATGGGCGCCTGTAATCCCAGCTACTCAGAAGGCTGAGGCAGGAGAATTGCCTGAACCCAGGAGACAGAGGTTGCAGTGAGCGGAGATCGCGCCATTGCACACCAGCTTGGGCAACTGAATGAGACTCTGTCTCAAAAAAAAAGAAGAAAAGTGAAGTAAGTTTTGGATCAGAGCCCGTGGGCGTATATCACAAATCCTTTTACCCGAAAAGTGTTTTGTTTTAGGAACTGATCATTCTTTAATGAGTAGTCTCCCACTCCAGTGTAAATACTGTTAGTTGGGAAAATGGGTCTGGAGGTGGAAGAGACAAGGGAGATACAAAGTAGCATCCAGTTATTTTGGTGGCCTCTGGGCCCTGTGAGCCTTTAAGTGGAGTTAGGGGAAAACATTAGGAAGTAGAGGGTAGGTTTCTTACAAAGCCAACCAGTTAATTATTTCTGTGCTTGGTTTCCATTAAACACTAGATATTTGATTAAGAAGAATAGAGGCTTACGCCTGTAATCCCAGCACTTTGGGAGGCTGAGGTGGCTGGATCACAAGATCAGGAGATCGAGACCATCCTGGCCAACATGGTGAAACCCCATCTCTACTAAAAATACACAAAAATTAGCTGGGCATGGTGGCGCACACCTGTAGTCCCAGCTACTCCAGAGGCTGAGGCATGAGAATTGCTTGAACCCAGGAGGTGGAGATTACAGTGAGCTGAGATCACACCACTGCACTACAGCCTGGGCAACAGAGCAAGACTCTGTCTCAAAAAAAAAAAAAAAAAGAATAGAGGCTAAACCTAGTGGACCTAGTGGCTCATGCCTGTAATCTCTGCATTCTGGAAGGCTGAGGCGGGTGGATCACTTGAGGTCAGGAGTTCAAGACCAGCCTGGCCAATATGGCAAAACCCTGTCTCTACCAAAAATTAGCTGGGTGTGGTGGTGCACATCTGTAATCTCAGCTAATTGGGAGACTGAGGCAGGAGAATCGCTTGAACCCAGGAGGCAGAGGTTGCAGTGAGCTGAGATTGTGCCACTGCACGCCAGCCTGAGTGACAGAGCAAGACGCTGTCTCAAAAAATAATAAGAATAGAGATTATAGTTAGAATAGAAGTAATGGTTATTATCCCAGTCTCTGAAGAAAAGTCAGACACAGTTTAGAGGTACTTGTGCTGACCTGAACTCACTGAAATGCTTTTCCTACATCCCAGTGACTGTGAAGTGCTGACCACACTCACCCCAGACACTGGCCGTATCCTGTCCAAGCTACACACTGTCCAGCCCAAGGGCAAGATCACCTTCTGCACTGGCATCCGCGTGGCCCATGTGAGTCTTACTGGGTTCCCTCGTTTGTTCCTCTCTGCTCTGAGGTCCTGCCTCCATCATACTCATTTCTCCCCTGGAATCCTGAGCTACGACCAGAGCAAGAGAAAGCCAACTTGGAGTAGAAAGGATATGGGGGATGAATCCCAGGGTAGTTGAGGGTTGTGAAGGGAAAAGTCCCAGAATTGAGAATAAGGCTGGACAAGGTAGCTCACACCTGTAATCCCTACCTTTGGGAGGTCAAGGGAGGAGGATTGCTTAAGGCCAGTAGTTCAAGACCAGCCTGGGCACATAGCAAGGCCCTGTTTCTCTTTAAAAAA